TACCAAGCCCGCTAAATGTAACAACTGAGGGCCAGGCATGCCCCAAACACAATAGCCCAGACATGTTGTTCCAGACATGTCCCAGACAGAAGTCCTAGACAGGCTAAATGTAACTACCTAGGGCCAGACATGCCCCAAACACAATGCCCCAGACATGTTGTTCCAGACATGTCCCACACAGATGTCCCAGACACAAATGTAACTACTGAGGGCCCCACGTCACTAGACAAAAAGCCTAGGCACAGACAGACAGACAGGGAGAGAGAGCTTTTCTCTCCTAACTGGACTTTTCTCTCTCTGCCAGGACCTCTGGCCCTTCTGTATTCCTTACTGTAAATAAATCCTGTCTTCCCACTGATTTGTGGTCCATGGATTCAGTCTTGGAATCACCGAGACTAAGAACCTACTGAAAAGCAAAATTCCAGTATCTATTCTATTTCAGGACAAAGTTTTCCCACACAAGATTTTTTTTTTTACAGTACTTATTTTTCTGCTTAACCTTTTTTTTTTAACCAAAAACACTTTTCGTAAAACAGGATCACAGTTGACCATAAAGTTAGTCACTCACTTAATCAAACTGATAATTAGAAGACTTTAAAAGGTAAGAGTCTTATTCTTTGACAGAGAAAAGAGTCAAAGGTAGATTTCTTATTAATTCCTTTTAGAGTCTTCTTCCCTCTGTTTACCCGTGTGTTCATGTGTATGGCCCACCTTTTCTATTAGAATCCTTACATTAACCACAGTCATTTAAAATTTCCTGTCTGGTAATTCTAACAGTTTTGTTATATTTGAGTTTGGTTCTATGTCTTGTTTTTTCTTTTCAGACTGTTTTTTAGTGTGTCTCGGAGTTTTCTGTTGCAAGTCAGACATGAAGTATTAGGTAATAAGAATTGAGTTGAGACTTTCATCAGGTTTTGTGTTAATATGGCCATGGGTTTGGCTGAGTTTAATGTTTTTTGTTTGTTTTTGCTGAAGGTGCCAGTAGCTTCCAAATCCTCTATTCTCCTTATTTTTTCCTGCCTACTGACTGCAGTCATCCACAAATGCTGTTCCTCTGTATCTTGGGGCTCTTTCAGTTCTAATCTACTGGTGTTATACTGAAGATCTATTGGTTTGGTGGCAAGGTATGTTAAGGGGAAACATTCTATAATCTTATAATTAAATATTAGCCTTCGGAGGGTCTGTGTCCCTCAGCTGTGACTTTCACAAATGTTTCTTAGCTGTCCCCCACTCCTTAGCTGAGATGGGAGAAAGTGATACCATGGAAAGATAGCTCTGTTCAGAATTATCTGTTGGCTCTTATTCCCTAAGAGCTGAAGAGTCTCTCTCTCCCTCTCTCTCTCTTTTTATATTTTGAGGCCATAATCTTGTCAGTGAATACA